CAGAGGCTACTACTAAGTCACTCCTCAGGGTTACCTGCCCCATGAATGTCACTTCTCAAGCCTTGTTTTCCCTGCCTTCAGACAACCGTCATCAGGAACAGGAAAATCTGGCACAGCTCCTCTCTCCTACAGAAGCAGCTTTGCAGCACAGCACTTCACCCCTGCCAGCAGCAACAGTCCTCTCCCATGACACACCCGCCCTCAGCTCAGAGTCAGTGGGACTGGAGCAATCAGATGCAGACACCAAGCGTAAGGTCACTCCTGCTCCAACCACTATGACAGCCTCCCAGGAGGCAAGGCACACCCATATAGCTATGGGTCCTACCCCATTTAGCATCTTAGGGCAGCAGCCCAAGAGCAACACTTCTCATCATCCCATGGGCTGCAGGCTCTTTCCTGCCACCAGTCTTCTATCTCACTTACAATCTGCTTTGGGGCATATTTATTCCATCCTTGCCAGCAAAACTAATACATCTGCAAAGGAATGTAATATGTAATAATGTACAGTCTACTGAGAAACATGCACAGCCTGTATGATTGCATTTTTCCCTAACAAATCTTAAACAGCCAGGTAGGTTTATATATGTAATAGGCCTGTCTTTGTAAAGTGGGACAAGGAGCTAAGCGTAAATTTATGAATGAAGATGAGACATTTTGAACCAACCACTGACTGTGCAGAGAAAGATTATCACATTACAAAGGTGTTGCCAAAATTCCTTTTCACCCCGTAGAGACTGCAGAAGGTTAATCTGCTCATATCTGATTGGTGACCTGTGAAATTCTCCAAGACACTTTTTCTCATTTACCTTGAAATTGTGCAAGAGGAGACTGATCAACATATAAATTAATGATGTGTGCACAGTACTGCTTCTGCTCTTCTCAGAGTCCTCAGATCTCCAGTCCCAGTTGTATGTAGCTTCCTCTGAAGTTACAGGTTTGGGTACTAGCACCATATCTGTGTTTATATAGTTGCATTAGTTAATCAAATTCACAACAGTCCTTAATCCAAATTAACTCAGTGTAGACAAGGTAGCATATGCATCCAAAGCAGTGAAGACAAGTCCTAATAGCCATAGCCAAATACAATTTACCTCGGCAAAGGCTGAGGATGCAAGATACAGTTCAAATAAGACATAAGTGATTTGGGGCTCAGTGCAGGAGACAATGAGTCAATCTGAATGTGATCAGAGAAACCATAACAGGAGTGTTTAAATTCAGTATCACTTGTTATTCAGTATTAACTAATAGATCAGTGTGGCCTTGTAGGGCATGTCTGCCCTGCAGCACCATCTTCTGAGTTAGTGTGGTGTTGCCCATGCTCCCTTCCTCAGTTTCCCTTCTTAGGAAGCCAATAACTTCACTTCAGGCACACTTGACCCAATAATACCCTCCTGTCATAAACACAGAGATAAGGGCAGCTATACTGAATCGCTTTACCTGTAAGGGGTTAAGCTCAAATAAACTGGTTGGCACCTGACCAGAAGGACCAATAAGGAAAGAAGATACTTTCAGATCTGGCAGGGGGCGTTGTTTGTGCTCTCTTTGTTTTTGTTCCCTCTCCGGACGGAGAGAGAAGCCAAGGAGGGACATCTCCTCCTGAAAATATACCTGGAATAATCCAAGAATTACAGAAATTGTAAGTGAGGCAAGGAAATGCATTAGGTTATCTTTTGTTTTAGCTTGTGAATCTTCCTATGCTACAAAGGTAGTTTTATTCCTGTTTTTGTAACTGTGAAGCTGAGTCCAGAGGGGAGTCCTCTGTGTTTTAAATATTTTTATTACTCTGTAAAGTTACTGTGACAGTGTACCCCATAAGGCTTTATGGGGGGTGTGTGCTTATAAATGTATGTATGATATAACTGGAATAAGGTTTTGCTACATATGCAATGTAACATATCTATGTAAAGGTTATGATCTACTGGTTATGTTCATCCTAGTTGTATGCAGGCACCATTTGTGTGTTCAAAGTTATGTATATTTGCTTGATTTCTAAGTTAGCTTTGTGAGGCATTTGGTCAGCTTCTTTAGGAAGGAATTCGCAAGGTTAAGTTCCCGATTAGGAAGCATTTGGGGAACAATGCATCTTGGAATGTTCCAATCCACATAAGAAGTCTTCCTGGAGACATACAAGATACCATGTGGACAATGGCTTCTGCCTGTAAAGAATGTGAGTCATGCATGGACATGTGACTTGCCCAGGTGACTCCAGAACTCCATCTTGGAGCTGGACTTTGCATAGGAGTGAGGAGGGGGGGTCTCCACCCACAAGAGAAAGTCTATTTAAACCCGTGGGAGACCCCTCCATTTTGTCTTCAGCTGGCTAACGAGAAAGCCTCCCCACTCCCCAGGATACTTGAAAGAAACTGGAACAAAGGGGTGTGAGTGATTGCTGGACCCAGGCTAAAAGATTCGTCTGTAAAAGGGAGCATTCTGGAACTGGTGAGGATCTTATCTGTATTCAGTTTGATTAGACATAGATTTGCCCATTTTATTTTATTTTGCTTGGTGACTTACTTTGTTCTGTCTGTTACTACTTGGAACCACTTAAACCTACTTTCTGTATTTAATAAAATCATTTTTACTTATTAATTAATTCAGAGTATGTATTAATACCTGGGGGAGCAAACAGCTGTGCATATCTCTCTATCAGTGTTATAGAGGGCGAACAATTTATGAGTTTACCCTGCATAAGCTTTATACAGGGTAAAACGGTTTTATTTGGGTTTAGACCCCATTGGGAGTTGGGCATCTGAGTGCTAAAGACAAGTACACTTCTGTGAGCTGTTTTCAGGTAAACCTGCAGCTTTGGGGCAAGTAATTCAGACCCTGGGTCTGTGTTGGAGCAGACGGGAGTGTCTGGCTCAGCAAGACAGGGTGCTGGAGTCCTGAGCTGGTGGGGAAAACAGGAGCAGAGGTAGTCTTGGCACATCAGGTGGCAGCTCCCAACGGGGTTTCTGTGATCCAACCCATCACAGTTACCTTCCATCCTAATTTTTCAGGTGTGATTCTTTTACTTTTTTCTTTATAATAAAGTCCTTCTTTTAAGAACCTGATTGATGTTAGTGTCCTAAAGATAAAAAGTTTGGTCTGTGCTCACATTGCTAACAAATTGGTTGGTATATTATTCTCAAACCTCCCCAGAAAAGGAGGTGAAGGAGATTGGGGGGATACTGGGGGGGGAATAGGGATTCCAAGTGGCCCATCCCTGAATTTTTGTTTAAATCAATTGGTGGTGGCAGCAATACCGTCCAAGGACAAGGAAAGGAATTTGTGCCTTGGGGAAGTTTTTAACCTAAGCTGGTATAATATAAGTTCAGGGGGTCTTTCATGCAGGTCGCCACAGCTGTATCCCAGAGTTCAGAGTGGGGAGGGAACCCTGACACCTTCTTGTAGCTTATTACAAAAGTTTCCACAAAAGGATCCATAACAAAAAATCCTAAATAAAGAAAAGGTTCTTCTGGCTTTCAGAGCTCCTCTGAAGCCTGCCCTCTAAGCTCTGCTCCCACCCCCCTCGCGGTTTTCTTCTCAGTCTTTACATCTCTGATTATTGCAAGTGCCCCAGCCCCTCCCCCATTAGCTTGGGTAGTTCAAGGAATTATCATCCATCTCCTTACCAGGAGCTTCTGCAGCTGGGTTGCCATTTGTCTCTTTCAGCTGGCCCCACTGCATCCTCAGGCTGAGAAGGTTTGGTAGCCTTCTCCTGCTGGTGTCTGCTCCCTGTTAACTCAGGACTGGACAGGAGCCTTCATATTCCTTGCAGCATCTGCTAGCCTCCATACTGCTGGAAGAGGCAGCACTTAGCTGGCCCCTTCTCCCAACTCATCCCCATTGGTTGGGAGACGGGAGCTTTGCAAGGCTCCTGGCCCTTAAAGAAGTAGTACTTGGGTTTCCTCCTAAGCCCAACTTACTCTCTGGCCTGCTTCCTCTCTCCTAATATCTCCCAGGTCCTTGTACCTATAATCAGACCTTTCAAGTCTTAAAGAGCCATGCCAGGGGCTGCGGTAAACTGACCAGTAGGCCATACTGCTCAGAGGGGACAAACTACCCCGTCACATGTGGACCCTTTTTCTTTTTCATGGATTGAAATTAATCTGTACAATTGTAATTCACTAACATCATTATTTACTAGGGCTGTCAAGCAATTAAAAAAATTAATTGCGATTAATCACGTGATTAATCATGCTGTTAATAATAAGAGAATACCAATTATAAAAATATTTTGGATGTTTTCTACATTTTCAAATATTGATTTCAATTACAACACAGAATACAAAGTGTACAGCGCTCATTTTATATTTATTTTTATTACAAATATTTTCACTGTAAAAAACAAAAGAAATAGTATTTTCAATTCATCGAATACAAGTACTGTAGTGTAATCTCTTTATCATGAAAGTTGAACTTACAAATGTAGAATTATGTACAAAAAATAACTGCATTCAAATATAAAACAATGTAAAATTTTAGAGCCTACAAGTCCACTCAGTCCTACTTCTTGTTCAGCCAATCACTCAGACAAACAAGTTTGTTTACATTTGCAGGAGATAATGCTGCCTGCTTCTTGTTTACAATGTCACCTGAAAGTGAGAACAAGAGTTCAGATAGCACTGTTGTCACCGGTTCTCAAGATATTTACGTGCCAGATGTGGTAAAGATTTGTATGACCCTTCATGATTCAACCACCATCCAGAGGACATGCATCCAAACAATCCAAAGCAGTGCGAACTGATGGATGTTCATTTTCATCATCTGCGTCAGATGCCACCAGCAGAAGGTTGATTTTCTTTTTTGGTGGTTTGGGTTCTGTAGTTTCCGCATCAGAGTGTTGCCCTTTTTTAAGACTTCTGAAAGCATGTGCCATACCTCGTCCCTCTCAGATTTTGGATGACACTTCAGATTTTTAAACCTTGGTTCAAGTGCTATAGCTATCTTTAGAAATCTCACATTGGTACCTTCTTTGCATTTTGTCAAATCTGCAAAGTGTTCTTAAAACGAACAACATGTGCTGGGTCATCATCCTAGACTGCTATGACATGAAGTATATGGTAAAACAGGTAGGAGTAGGTAAAACAGAGTAGGAGACATACAATTTTCCCCCCGAGGAGTTCAGTAACAAATTTAATTAATGCATTATTTTTTAATGAGCATCGTCAGCATAGAAGCATGTCCTCTGGAATGGTGGTTGAAGTATGAAGGGACATATGAATCTTTAGCAAATCTGGCATGTAAATATCTTGCAAGGCCGGCTACAAAAGTGCCATACGACCGCCTGTTGTCACTGTCAGGTGATGTAAATAAGAAGTGGGCCAGATTATCTCCCATAAATGTAAACAAACTTGTTTGTGTTAGCAACTGGCTGAACAAGAAGTAGGACTGAATGGACTTGTAGACATAGGCGCCGACTCCGTGGGTGCTGCAGGGCTGGAGCACCCATGGGGAAAAATTAGTGGGTGCTCTGCACCCACCGGCAGCCAAGCTATCCCTACCCCCCTCCTCACCCGAGCACAGTGTCCTTGCTCCTCCCCCCCCCCCCGCCCAGGGCTTCCCGCCCGCCACCTAACAGCTGTTTGGCGGTGCTTAGGACTTTCCGGGAGGGAGGGGGAGGAGTTGGGATGTGGCATGCTTGGGGGAAGAGGCGGTTAAGACACAGGGCAGGGGCAAGGACTTGGGGGAAGAGGGTGGAATTGGGGCGGGGGCAATGGTGGTGCAGGAGCAGGCAGGGGCGGGGCCAGAGGCAGGGGGGTCAAGCACCCACGGGGCAGAGGGGAAGTCGGCGCCTATGCTTGTAGGTGCTAAAGTTTTACATTGTTTTTGAATGCAGTTATGTAGCAAACAAAATCTTCATTTGTAAGTTGCACTTTTATGATAGAGATTGCACTATAATACTTGTACGAGCTGAATTGAAAAATACTATTTCTTTTATTTATCATTTGTACAGTGCAAATATTTGTAATAAAAAATGATAATATAAAGTGAGCACTGTACACTTTGTATTCTGTGTTGTAATTAAAATCAGTATATTGAAAATGTAGAAAAACATCTACAACTATTTAATAAATTTCAATTGGTATTCTATTGTTTAACAGTGCGATTAAAACTCTGATCAATCGCGATTTTTTTAAAGTTAATCATGAGTTAATCGCGTGAGTTTACTGTGATTAATCGACAACCCTATTATTTACATATTTGAGGTTTCCTTTTCAGCATTTCTAACTGCCATCCTAAAATTCAGGATTGAATGGCTAGACAGAGTAGTGCTTTATATTAGCCACAGCACATCTACTCAGGAACATGGGACTCATCGTATCAGATCTAATCAGTGGGTCTTCTTGTTCCACATCCTGTCTCCTCCAACACTAGTCAGTAACTAGACTGTAGTGGGTAGTTTGGTCCTCAAAGGCATTTAGGTGCTTAACTCCCATTGAAATCCATGGGAGTTAGGCACCTAAATATCTTTGAGATTCTGTGCCTTTATTTCTAACCTCATGCTGTTGGAGGTTGGCTTCTCCTCTGAAGGAGACTTTTGAAGGTTGATGATCCATATACATTGTACTCTGTCTAATGTAAGAGTGGATGATTTCATTATCTAGATAAAAGCCTAATCCTTTTTAAAAATCCTACTCAGCTGAAGGCCTCCACGATATCTAGTGGCAGTGAGTTCCACAGGCTAACAACATATTTTGTACTTTTGAAAAAAGGGAGGGAGCATTTAACTGCTTTAAATTTGTTGCCTTTTGCTTTAATTCAGTGTCCCAATGGGCAACCCTGAAGTTATGGAACCTCTTCCAAGGAGACACAGTTGCTCACTCTCAATTCTCCGGCACAGTGCCAGCCACAAATTTGGAAATCCATAATCAGCTCCATGACAACCAGCTCCATGGGCACAGCAGCGAATCTCTATATTCCTATGAAGCATCAGGTACTGGCCACTTCTGGAGGTCAGATACTAGGCTTGACGGATAATGCTTTAAAGCAAATCCTAAATTCATATTAAATTTCTACAATATATTCTAAACAGTGGGGGTTGTAATAAAAATATTACAGTGCACTAAAGCAGTAATACTAGCAAAGGCTGCATGACGCTCTGTGTTGCTGTCTTTTTATAAAAAGGGATTTTTAAAAATCTTTTCGGAAAAGACCACACTTAATAAGCCTCTTCCCTGGACTAAGAAGCCATTTACCAGGATTCAGTACATTCTGAAAAGAACCAGGGGTTAAATTTTAAAAAGAGACTAGTGATTTGGAGGGGCGGGGGAGGGTAGAGTACTGATCACCCAGCTTGAGACACCAAGGATATGGTAAGCATCCGCCCTCTGAAAGCCAGGGCCTTTTAGTGTATCACATGTTGGGCACCCAAAAATGGAAGCAGCTAAAATCAGTAGTTACTTTTGAAAATGTAGAACTGTATATATAAAACATGAATATACCTTTACAGTGAGAGGCTTTAAAAATGGAAAAGACAACCCAGAACAATTCAATCCCTTCTGCTGAGTAGCCTTGTTGTATATCTAGATCATCTTTCTTTTGTGTTGCAATGCCTGTTTCTTAATTGCTACGGTACCTTGTGAGAAGGCAATGACTAACAGCCTGGTGAGATGTTTCTGGAAGGAATGCACTCTTTCCACAGTCTCTAGGGGAAACTCCTTCATGACCAAGGGGTAAATGTTCCCCTCCATCACCTATGCTTGCAGAGGGGAGAAAAAGCCAGGGTGCAGGAGAGAGGGTGGACAACCCCCCTCCTGTGGAAGTCTCTCCAGCTCCACTCTCTATATGTGGTAGGACTCCATGGAGGGAGTTGATGGGACTTGGGAGCAGCTGCTTTGCATGGCATGTGCCTTTCAAAGCCCTGCAGATACCAGACAGGTATCTGTGAAGGCAACAATACAGTCGATAGCAGCATGGCTCCAAGGCTGAGTGGGAGGCTGGGCATTGCCATGGAGAAGCAGCCCCTCTGTGCTGCCAAAATCTTCAGGAGGCGATACACCCCTGCTGCTTCCAATGAGAGCCACCAAATCCCTCCCTCCTGCAACCAGCTTTCACTGGGAACTGCTAAGTCTAGTTCCTAGAGTTTTTTGGGCCCTCTGTCAATCCTCCATGGGCTGGTGGAGCTGGGTGGCGTGTCCGTGCTCCTATTTAGGTGGGAAGGCCAAACAGTGAGACGTGTTTGTTCATCCGCCCTAAGAACTCTCTCATGTGAGGCACTGCAGGGCTCAACTCTCTCCCCTGACCCTCCTGTATAACATATAGATGGCGCCAGTGGGGGGGTTAGTGGGGATTTGTAGGTTATGATGTCTTCGATCCACTGAGACCTTGCACTAAATCCCCGCCTCTGCCAACCCCACTGATACTGGACTATCCATTGCAGGGCATCTCCTGGCAGAAGGTTAGGAAAAGCAACCAGAGGAAGCAGCAGGGATGATGCAGGATGGAGGGAGGGCATCCAGCATTTGTGCTATTAAAAAGGCTTAGTGAGCCCAAAGCTGCTCTGAGACACCCAGGTTGGTGCTGTGGCTAAGAGCACTTTGCTCCATCTGCCTTTGGTAAAAAGAATGCAAGCTCTGATTCCAGATGGGGACCTCGTTACATTTACCCAGGCCTTCATCACCTCTCACTGATTGTAACATGCTGTGCTTGGGGCTAGCCCATGAGACCACTTAAAGGCTGAAGCAGGTTTGGGAACAGGCACCATGAGAGATCACCTCTTTCCACATGCAATACGGCCACAGTTCACATCCATGGATGGATTCATGCTGGAGCTCCCTCAATTTCATTCAGAAGATGGCCCTGGAAGGGCTTTCCTACCCCTGGGGTAAGCCAAAGCCTGGATCGGTTAGACACTCAGGTACACAAGGGCCATCTTTCCTCCTGTACATTGGGGGGTGGGTGGGCTGGAGTGGAGAAGAGTTGATAGATGCCTGCTGGGAGGAGAAGGTTTGACTTTCATTTGGGGAGGAAAATTAGCTTGGTGTATGGAACCTGAATTATATTATGTAGGTCAGGGCACCCCCAGAGCCTTGGGGATCCTTATGCATTGAAATAAACAAACATCTACCCACCACCCACTAAGGGGTTCACTTGAAATACATTGTCAAAGAAACCTGATTGGTTTCACAGAGGAGGAGTTCTAACTAGTGTGCTGTACTGCAGGTTGCCTAAGCTTTTCCATTGTTTTCAACTGGTCATAAATTTCTGAAATATATGCAAAAATGACTAACGTCTCTGGTGCCAAAGTGGGTGAGGGCAGAAAGCTGAAATTTGGCAGCCCCATGCCTCATTGAGTATGCAGCTTGGCTGGTTTCCAGTGGAATAAGCAGGAGCTCTCCCTGAACAGAGAGACTAAAACCAACATTCACAAATAATTTGATTTAGTTAAAAAAAATGAAAATAAGTAATTTAGTTTCCATAGAGACCTACTGTTTTAATTTTGGTTGACCGACCCAGTAGAAATTGTCTTGCATTCATCATTTCAATTGTAATAAGTGACTTAAATAAGTGTCGCACCATTTCTTTAGTCACTGCACACCATGCAGTCTGTGCACTGAGCTAAGGATCCTAAAGAACAAATACTATGTGAGCAAGGTAATTAAAGAATATATTGTGATGCAACCTTAACGTTGTCATTTCCTGACTTTGAAGTGCTTATCTTTGCATCCTTACTCTTCTCTCAATGCAATATTTTTGTGCAGAATACAGGATAACCAGACAGCCTGGTATAATAGTGCAATTTACCTTGATTTAAGTAAAGCCTGTTGTGCGATCACTCACAAGTAGTTTGTGAATATGATCCAAAATGTAGCAGTACTAAAGAACAAAACAGATTGAACCCTTCCTTCCAACTGGCTAAGAGCTGGAGTCTCATTCCTTGGCTCTGCTTGAGCTGGGCTTTGCAGAGGACCGGGGGCATCCAAGGTGACTTTACACAATGTTGTATCCTCCTCACACTCCTAAATCCTTGGGCTATGCACCTTCAACCACCCTCAGAGATACTTTAAATTCCACCCAGCCGCCTACAGCCTCAAGGGACTGTTAATGGCAGTCAGGGAATGCCAAATTGCAACCAACCTCACAACCATTCTCCTGCCGCCTGCCTCTACATCACCCAAGGATTGCCCAATACTTGGGAAATACTCAGTCATTATGTAAGCCATTGTTATACTCTCTTTTTCCACTGCGGGAGTGATGGGAAAGGGCTGAAAAAGAGGCAAAGAGCTGGCCCGAAGGCAGAAAATCCTTTTGGAAGAATAATTGGACTCCCACAGGGCTCAGTGGAAGGAACAATTTAACATATTAGTTATGGACTGAGAAATCTGAACTAACTCCATGGTCTCCGAACTCAGATGACACAAAGCTACGAACAAGTGGAGGTAGCAAGATTGCAGGAGGTTTTGTGAAGGGACCGGGGAAGCATGATGTGTATTATATCATGGCCTTGCACACTAGTGACTGCACCTTTTACATTTCACTCAGTTTGGATAATCAAACTAAACTAGGCAGTTATGGTGTTTCTAGTCAATTGCATTTTCTGATTCTTCTGCTCCACAGCCAATGCAGTCATATTTGGATTGAAGACACTGTCAGTACCCACACACGTTCAAGTTTAAAAGAGTTTATAGAAATTTAAGATCTTTTCTCTAAATATTTCTATGCACAGTAGGGAAAAGTTGTTGGTTCTTTTTAATACATAACCCATATTTGGGACAAAATTAAACTCCAAAAGGAGAAGATATGTATTTCTTGGACATTAACACTGGCCCATTATGCACAACATAAACAGCTTCTGTCTAAACATCAAGTTTCATTAATATTATTATTGAGAAAAGGGAAAATATTGGATAAATCTAGAGTAAAACTGTTAAAACTTGCTTGCTTTTAGCCAAGCACCAGTTTTTGCTGTAGGCCAGAGTTCCACCTGTACCTTCAATTGATGTAGTAAGGGTGAAATCCTGGCCCTTTGAAGTCAATGGCAACCCCTCCATTGAGTTTTACCATGGACTTCAAGGAGCCAATGAAGTATTTGGCCACTGATTAAGTAATTATCACATTCTGCTTATTCTAGATTTTCTACCTGAAGAGTACCTTAAAATCCATCAATGAGAAAATGCTCCGTAATTAACTATAAGATTCTGTAGCCAATCCTCAATTACAGATATTTACTTTTAATTGTAACTTTTAAGGAAAATTAGTTAATTTAAGTATTGGCTTGACATGAACATTAGTGTCTTCTCTTCATCCACAGAATGGGCTGAGTGGAAATACACCTCTACCTCGATATAACGCTGTCCTCGGGAGCCAAAAAATCTTACCGCGTTATATTGAACTTGCTTTGATCCACCGGAGTGCGCAGCCCCACCCCCCAGAGCACTGCTTTACCGCATTATATCTGAATTTGTGTTATATCGGGTTGCGTTATATCGAGGTAGCGGTGTATACATTTCCCCCGCATTGCTCTTAGTCCTGACCGCCTCAAGGGAAGGCAAGTTGATCTCTAGGTCTCATCCATCATGATTTGGACACCTATCCATCATTAAAGGAATTGAAACCAAAATAGTTCTACGACCTAACGTCTGCAGTTAACTTTCACCTCTACCAACCTGTACTGATCTGAACCAGTAACCTAGAGGTGTGTCCCTGTGTTCCATTACCAGTCTCGTGAGCCATTCAGCACTCCATCATATGTAATGCTTTTACGCAAAGACTTTCACTGCTTGGCTAGGCATTGGTTTTATTGAAGCTTTAGTCAGAGTCTAAGCAAGGCCAATAGTTTCTTTTCCTGTTTACATAAGAATAGCCATAATGGTTCAGACCAAAGGTCCATCTAGCCCAGTATCCGGTCGTCTGACAATGGCCAATGCCAGGTGCCCCAGAAGGAATTAACAGAACAGGTAATCGTCATGTGATCCATCTCCTGTCACCCAGGAC